TGCCCGCTGAGGCCAAGTCTGAGAAGCCATGGTGGCAGGTGTTTAGTGACGACCTTACCAAGCCAATCATTGATAACATTTTGTCTGATCTCACTCGGATTTATATCATGGACACAGAGATCCCCGAAGGACCTGTCCCAGGCCTTCCCAAAGAGAAGCCTGGGACACTCAGCTGCCAGGGGATGGCGCCACCACATCGTCCTGATGGCGGGGCCCCAGAGCACTGGCTGAGAGGACTGGTTTTGTGCTGCTGGAAACAGGCCGGTGAAGGCGATGACATGCTGCCACTTTGATACTCAGGCTTTGACTGTCCCCAGCAGCCATGGTCCAGATGTTGATGTGCGCTGAACCTCCCGTGGGCAGGAGCGTGCTGCGGGGGGCTTTGAGGCCTCCGGGTCTGCTTTTGTCCTTGGAAAGGATGCAGACTACAGCTGCGGTTTGGGATCAGTGGAAGGAAAATCAAAGAACGGATGGGACTGTGCCCCAGGGGATTTTTTTAAAGGCCAGATTTAGAGCAAGTATGAATCAATTAACAAAGATGAAATTTTATTTTGTTTCATTAAAGATATTACAAAACCAAAATAAAAAGATAATAATTATTGGTGTTGGACAAATAGCACTGATACATGCAAAAAAATTAATCTAGACCACCAACTTACACCATACACAATTATAAACTGGGAATGAATAAAGGACTTAAACATAAGTGGGTAACCATGAAAATCTTAGAAGAAGCAAAATATCAGGCATCTGTCTTAACAATACCTTTACTGATACAGCTCCTAGGGCAATGGAAACTGACAAGAAAAGAAACAAAGGGGACGACTTCAAATTAAAACACTTCTACAGAGAAGAAGAAGCCAACAAATACAAGAACAACAAGAACAAAACAAGGAAGTCTACTGCCTGGGAGAAGATATTTGCCAATGTTATATCCATTAAGGACCTATTCTCCAAAATTCATACTGAACTCATCCAATTAAACAAAAGGAAGATCAACATTCCAATAAAAAATGGGCACCACCAGCACGAAGGCCCCCTCTGACTTATGGTGGTCCAATCCCTGTGATGATTATTTCAGCCACACAGGAGATGGTTATGATGGGGGCACGGCAATTCTGCAACAGTCGATGGGACACCCCTGTAAGAGGTCCTGAGTGTGGTGCTGCCGGCAATCACAGGATACACCATAGAGAGCGTGAATCATGCAGTACAGTAACTCACCTGATTGGGTTCTCGGGGAGTAGAGGGGGAAGCCCCTGTGCCAGAAGAATTAGATACTTAAATTAAAAATGAAAAGGTACAGACAGCATTTTATTGTAAAGAATTTGGCTTCTGTTATTTAAGAATGACTAAAAGCAAATGGTAGGTTTGGGGGAAGCATCAAGAATTGTAGGTACCATTATGAAGTTTCAGGATTGGAGGCAAGTTTTGAATTATACACAGTTGTTTCATAAGTGCTGATTTAAATTACAATATACTTAAATGTTTAAATTTTACATATTGTATTGTTAAAATATTCAGAATATAAGCACAACCAACAGATCAACAGAGACAGGACACTGGGAATGGGTGAGGACAAGTGACTAGGGATAGGGGAGGCTGGGTGGAGGTCAGCAGAAAAAAAAGAAAGAGGCATATCCTACCTAATAAAAGAGAAACATGGTAATTAGCATACGACCACTACCCTTACCATTGGCTAATCAGGGCGATATGCAAATTAACTACCAGCCAAGATGGTGGCCGGCAGCCAGGCAGCTTAAACTGAACATGAGGCTTGCGTGCTTCAGTGACTGAGGACTGCAACATTCCCCATTGCCTTGCAATTTAAGAAACATTGTAACAAATATAGAAGCTAAACAAAACCCCAGAAACCAGCTTTCAGCGAGCCGGGATCTCAGAGTTGGAGTTGATACAGAGTTTCGATTATAGAACCTAAATAAACCAGATACCTATTTTCAGCAGCAGAGGTCTCAGAGCTGGAGCCAAGCCTCAGAGCTAAAGCTGGCCCAGAATAAAAAAAAAACAAAAAACAAAAAAACAAAAAAAAGGAGCAGTTGGGAGCTTCAGTCCTAGCCTGAAAACAGCCCTCAGCCCCTCACCCAGACTGATCAGGCACCCCAGTGGGGACACCCTTCAGGGCAAACCAGTGAGCCCCACCCATACACCAGGCCTCTATCCTATATAGTAAAGGGTAATATGCCTCCTAGCACCGGGATCAGGGGAGCTGAGAGGCTCCTGGCACCAAGATCAGCATGACAGGGGGCAGCGCCCAAACCCCTTGATTGCCCAGCAGCTCTGTGTGTGACAGGGTGAGGCACCCCAAACTCCCCCACCACACAGGCACTGCTCTGTGTGTGATGGGGTAGAGCCATAACCTCCCATCTGCCCTGCCCTGAGTGTGAGAGTGGTGGCGCCCCAACCCCCTGATTGGCCCTGCTCTGTGGGTGATAGAGAGCTGTGCCTGGACCCCGCCCCCCCAGGGGCCCTACTCTCTGTGTGATGGGGTAGAACCATAGCCTCCCCATCGGCCCTGCCCTGAGTGTGACAGTGGTGGCGCCCCAACCCCCTGATTGGCCCTGCTCTGTGGATGATAGAGGGCCGCGCCCCAACCCCCCGATCCGCCCTTCTTTGTGTGTGACAGGGGGGAGATCCTCAGCACCCTGATTGGCCCTACTCTGCCTGTGACAAGGGGTGGTGCCCCAACCTACCCATCAACCCTGCCTTGAGTGTGACAGGGGACTGTGCCCAACCCTCCAATCGGCCCTACCCTGAGCTTGACTGAGGGTGGCATTGCAACCTCCCCATCCGCCCTGCTATGTAGTCTAGACCTCAGCATGAGGAAGATTCGCAGACACGAGTATAGGAAGAACATCTCATGCCAGCACCTGTTGAGGGGCAGGTGGCAAGCCCTGAAGGTGTTGTGGGAGGCCTAGAGGGAGAGTTCAGAGGAGTGGCTCAAGGAATCTGCTTTGACTCTGACAGTGGACATGCACACTCCCTCCTGCTGCCTAAGCTCCCCTTCATGAGCTGGAATTGCACTGCCCTTGTTGTACTGGTAGTTCCTGTCCCAGGCACACATTCTGCAGCCCTGGTGTTACAGGCTGTACCCCTCCCTGCAACCAGGAGCCCTGATTGGCCCTACTCTGCCTGTGACAAGGGGTGGTGCCCCAACCTACCCATCAACCCTGCCTTGAGTGTGACAGGGGACTGTGCCCAACCCCCCAATCGGCCCTTCCCTGAGCTTGACTGAGGGTGGCATTGCAACCTCCCCATCCGCCCTGCTATGTGAATGACAAGGGGCGGCGCCCCAACTTCCGAATCAGCCCTGCTCTGAGCTGGACCAGGGGCTGCACCTAGGGATTCGGCCTACCCTCTGCAGCCCAGGAGCAGGTCTAAGCGAGCAGGTCGTTATCTCCTGAGGGATCCCAGAGTGCGAGAGTGCACAGGCCGGGCAGAGCGACCCCCCACCCCCCAATTGCACAATTTTTTGTGCACCCACCCTCTAGTATATTACTATTTTAAAACCTTAAACACTAACATTACAAAAAAATTTCAGAAGAAAATGTTCTGCAACATGGGATTTCTTGTCTGATTTTACTACAAACACATGAAAGCAATCTGTTTGGATGGTGAGTTATATTCATGGCCGTATATTGCCCTGGGTGTCTATGACCATACGTACATAAAGTAGTTGAAGTGAACTGCATACAAAATGAAGCAATGTATTATTTCGTCATGGCATGCTGTGCTGTTTTCCAGTTGGGGGGGGGGGGGGACAAAAAAGATACTCTCCTTGGAAAACCTAAATGGTTAAAGGATTGACACACCTCTGACAGGGCTGCAAAACGAGGATTCCTCCAGCCCTGTGTCCCACACTTTGCACCCTAAGATACTGATTAGGAGCAGATCTCTCCAACTGGCCCCAGGAGGAATAGGAGACCTTGGGGAAATAGGAGATGGTAGTGAGCAGGAATAGATCAATGTGGCATGGCAGCACAGCAGTCTAGACCTCAGCATGAGGAAGATTCACAGACACGAGTATATGAAGAACATCTCATGCCAGCACCTGTTGAGGGGCAGGTGGCAAGCCCTGAAGGTGCTGTGGGAGGCCTAGAGGGAGAGTTCAGAGGAGTGGCTCAAGGAATCTGCTTTGACTCTGACAGTGGACATGCACCCGCCCTCCTGCTGCCTAAGCTCCCCTTCATGAGCTGGAATTGCACTGCCCTTGTTGTACTGGTAGTTCCTGTCCCAGGCACACACTCTGCAGCCCCGGTGTTACAGGCTGTACCCCTCCCTGCAACCAGGTGTCCCTGTGAGAGAAAAGTAATGGCCAGGGAACCTGGCAGCACACCAGGGGAGAGCCCAGGCGGCCCCTCCTCACCCGTCCTGTCTGCTCAGTGGGGGCCATCGTCCTTTCATAGTTCTTCAGGCAATTGAGCCACAGGTCCTTACTGATGATCAAGTAGGGCAAACAGGAGACCAAAGGGACCAGAATAGAAACCTAAGCATCAGGCAGACACAGGAACCTATATGCTGGCATGGCCAGTGACATGCCACCTTAGCAATCCTGCCAGATCCCGCCACGCTGTGGTCAGAGTACCAGTTGAAGAAGTTTGGGCCGCTATCCTGGTGCCTGTGGCTGGATGCTTCTCGTTCACAATGCTGGGACCACTGAATGGGAGTGGCACGGGACACCCTGTATCCTGCAGGAGAGGGGTCTGTGAAGCTGGGCACATTGCTTTCCATCCCTGCCCACCACCAGCTGCAACCCATGCAAGGAGCCTTCTCTTACCTGTGAGGGTGATGAGATACTCCTTCACAATCACATGGTTGCAGAAGTAGGGGTTGCTGCAAAAGTACAGGCTAATGGTGCAGCAACCCCAGGGATGCCTGACTTCGTTAACCTGCAGAAGGAAAGTGGATCCAGGGAGTGAAATCGCAGCCCAGTGCTCCTGCCTGTAGCTGTTTTCAGAGACAGGCCATTTCCCCACCTGCCCTCCACCGGTTTGTGGAGCTGGTAGACTGACATTCAAATTGATCATGTGGCCAAGGATGTTTTCATCTTGGACCCTGATCATTGCCGACAACACTGGGTGGTTGACAAACTTCTTTGGGTCAAACAACTTGCACCCTGGGAGCTGGGCATGGACTAGCTAGAAAGAGCAGCCTTGCCTGGCCTCTCCTTCCCTAAGGGCACTCCTCCATAAAAGGCAGAAAGGGGCACTGCACCACTCTGTTTCCTGACAGACCCTGATGTCC